GCCAGCCCCGCGCCGGGGACACAGACAGGGAGAGCCGCGACGTCCCCCTGTCCCACCATGCACCGACACCAGGGCACATCCCGGCCTCCAGGATGCAGAGAAACAGCAGCAAACGCTGCAAGCAAAGAGCTTGCAACCCACGGCAGAGCCAAAAACCAAAGCAAGCTCCAGAGGAAAAGAGGATTTAATTAAACCAAGGTGATGCAACTTCCTAGCTGACCAGAGCATCACGAAGAGCCAGGTTCAAGCAAGACCTAGCTGAAGTTTCAGTGAAACAGGACTCTCGTAGCATCCCATTTCACAAAATTCAAAATGCTCTGGGAAACTGTGACAAGCTTGTTTGAAAAGCGCGAAAGAGTCTTGGAAATGTCAGAGCATTTCAGCACCTTCTGGAGGTTGCTGAAGCAACTGGATTTTTCTCATTTGAAGATGCTCGCTTCTATCCTTTCAGTACTGCTGTATAGTAAGTTGCTTGTTTGTAACTTGAGTACATTTGGAGTTTTGATACTTGTTGCAGGACAAGTAACAGTAAACGGGACCTCACAGACACCTTGTGATGTTTAGAAGCGGATAAATGATTAGCCAAAACTTAGAGATTTTTCGTATAGTACAACAATATGACAATATACTAGGCACTCCCCACCCCTGCTGCCTGATTTGCTCAGAAATCTCCCATCCAGAGATGATTTTCCTGCCTAGTTGGTTGAACATGGCAGTTCCACAGGCTATAGGGGGATGGTTGCAAAATGCAGGAGGTTGCATCATCTCTGTGCCTGTAGGATCATTGCTGCCACGAGAGGAGCATGGAGAGTTTAAAGCCTAGTCATGATGGGAGAGGACTTACTACTGCTGCTGCTCCCTGCTCCTTGTCATCCTTTCATCCTGGATCTTCATCCTTGCTGCCACCAGCCTGCTGGCCAAGGAAGTCTTCCCAGCGGTCAAACACCTGGGAATCCCAGTGCTGCTCCAGTAGTGCTGAAGCAGGCAAAGAGAGGAAGCCAAACTCACCATCTCACCAACGCGGAGGTTCTTGCTGCTCCAGGATACAGTAAGATGAGGAGGGATGGAGAATACAGAGCTGCAAGACAGGGGAACAACACAAGGTCCCAAACAGGGACAGGACAACTTGTGCTGGAAAAGCTGAGCAGTTGGGGCTGCTGTTACCAAAAAAAAAAAATACCACCACTGCCTGCAGCTCACATGGTGCTGAGGCCCCTTAAAAGCAGATCCTGGACCAGCTGCTGGCCCCTCGGGACAGCTGGTTACACCACTAGCAAACCCAATTGCAGCAGAAGTTTACAGCTTCCTCACAGCCCATTGCAGCCGCAGACGCTGCTCATAGTCCTTCTAGTCCAGTTACTCCCTAGTACAGGGGACACCGCATCGAGCTTTGTGTTTCTAGTTGCTTGAATCACCACCCGGCCCAGGACTAAGGGGTTTTGTGAGCAAGGAGAACATCCCTTTATGGGGTGCATCAATGGAGCTCCAGCCAGGAGAGAACAATCCTAATTTGCAAACCAACGAGGAAACACATTGCATTTAAGGAAAGGGGGAAAAAAGGAGTTTCGTTCTAAAAAAACTACATTACCCACAATTCATGAAAATGTGGGCGGAAATGCTGCTTTTTTTTTCGCAGAGGAGGTTTAGCTCCAACAGCTGCAGTTTAAAAGAGAAATACGGGGGGAAGGGATGGCACTGAGAGGAGGAGGAGGAGGAGGGAGGCGAGCGAGGCAGAGCGGGACCTGCCGCTGCTGCCCGGGCAATCGGCCCGGGCTGGGGG